AGAGTATCAGCTTAGAATGTCTTAAGTGAAGTAAGGTGTAACCAGCCTGGAGTGAACCATGTAAATGGCAATGAGTGGATGACAGAAGCGAGTGTCTTAGAGGAAATACAGCTGCAATCTGGGGATTTGCAGTGGAGGAAGCCTCCACCTAGTCCTCTGGAAACCAAGCAAGGAAGCAAAGGATGGTGCAGAATTGGGTGCAAAGAATTCCTCGCCCTCTCTCCATCCTTTCCCACTGCCTGCCATGAGCTAACCCAAACGCAAAGATAGGTGGCACTGTGTTCTTGGAGATGTCAAACCAGAGCTTCACCTCCTCGGGACATCCAATAATATGTGTCTCTCTTTCCGACGACCAGAGGTGCCCTTCTTGGTCATCTAGTCCTTAGATGTTGCAGTTTTAATAAAAATTCAGATGATCTGTTTTGTTTGGAGAAAATATTCTATTGCTTCTGCTTTATGTATTTACTGTGTAATATTCCTAGCTTACAAAGACTGCCGTGTTTCACCTCAGAGTGCTGCATTTCATTTAAAGATGATTAATTTGTAGGGGTTGGGGGAAGGAGACTTGGTAAAGAGATTTTTCTCTGCAGGGTTGTTAATAGCCACGGGAACTTATTTAGAATTGAGCAAACTGAGAGCCATTGAAGGCCACTGACTAGTCATCTCATGGGCTATGAGCTAAAGTCAGTCAACATCAAACTGGAAATAAATTCCAAAGGCTGGGTTACCTTGAAGTGTAATTTACTGTGGTACTGCATTATACATTGCTGCAGGAAATTATCCATACTTGTTTTATATAATCTTTCTAAAAGATGTGCTTTAATTCACTGCAACTTGCTGTTTTGCATGAGGCAAATTCCAAGCCTTTTCTGTGTAAGAGGCTATATTAGATTATAAAAGTAGTTTATTCTGGCCTTAAAAGCAATTAATCCATGTTCAGCTCATTTTTATCTTAGTCTTGGAGCAAGTTGCATACCACTCCTGGGGTGCAGCAGTGAAGCTAATAAGGTGATTTACTCCATTTCCAGAGGTCTGATTTGGCACTTTCCTACAGACTTGTGCTTCAAACTGTTTTCATTTGACCCAGGTTCTGGGTCTTCAGAGTCAAAAGCATCCAAATGTCATTCTAAAGTAATTACTGGTTTTCTCTGTCATTTTTTGTAGACAGGGTTGTTCCCCTCTAAGTCCAATGGGCCATCTGATGTTCTGGATGTGGCTGTGTATCTAATTGTCACATCTTTGATTTGCACCTCACTTCATTTGGAGAAAATTTATGAGATGTCAATATTTTTCTTTGCACAATGGAGAAATAAGAGATTTAAAATAACTGAGATGGATGTATCTTTTAATATGTTTCTTTCATTAAAATGACAATTAAAAAAAAACCAAAAATACCTTTTGAAGACAATATATAGATCAAGGCAGCATATGAAGAACCAAAATGAAAGGTACCCTGTGTTTATTTCACTGATAAAGCATGCAAGACTTTTACTGAAAAGACTATAAAACTCCAGTAAGTGTTCCTGGAGGTTTGTGACTGTGACTGGGATCTTTTGATAAAATTATAAACTAAACTAAATCTATGAACTAAATGGCAGAAATGTGGGGTTTTTCCCTTTGGTTATAAAAAAGCAGGTACTTGAGCTGAAAATATAACAGACCTAAGATCTAAAAAGCACTATCAGCTTTTATAAGGTAGCAATATTGTCTGGAAAAATGAAAAAAATAAATACCTAGCCCTCCCAAAATGCAGATTTGAGGGAGTTCAGCCAAGATCATATTAATCAGAACATGATTGAACACCCTCCCTTCTAAGACAATGTGAGGCAGCACATTTATACTGTAAAGCCAAGACAAAGCTAAAAGCAGTAGCATGATCTCAAATAGTACAGTTTTTATGGAAATGAGCAATTCCTGTTATGAAAGCAGGGTGTCAGAAGACTATGGTGCATTACCCTTCAAGCAATTGAAAACCTAATTTTTTAGAAACTAAAACACTGGTTACTTCAATGCATTTTAAGAAGCAACTTAACAAAGAACTGTCAGGCGTTGCTCACACAGAATTGTATGCATACTAGAGCTCCTCAGGACATACAGTTAAGAAACTCTAAGTCTATTTAGATAGATTTTTTTTTCAATATATTGATCCAGTTAATTATGATGTAAAATATTTGAAAAGGACAAAGGTAGTAGGCTGTATCTCTGGATGCCTCTATGACTTAAGAGAGTGAGATATACTCATATACCAAAGTGATGGATTGTTGATATCAAAATTATATAGTAATACTATTATATGTGTTCCAGAAAAATCTTTTTTATGGGCACACATTTTAAGGTCAAGAGCAACCAGTAAGGTCAGAGGAAGACATCTTTTTTGAACTTCTCTGTAAAAAACATGATTTTCTGCCAGCAATTTCTGCCTCAAGCCTGGAATTTCTCTAGAAGAGATCAGGTAATAAAATTTTTTCTTGCATTTTCCAGCAAAGTAAGTACAAAGAAATATGATAGTGTTGACAGTGACAGTCTCTCTTATGTATTTGTGACTAGCATTATCTTCAAAAGTGTCAATGGGTCCTGCTACTGCTCTTGTTCACTCCCCAGAGCCACATTTTGTTTCCTTTGCTTTGCATTGCTCTGGCCTTTGGTGCTTCGATTGAAATAATGCTGAGAACTTTGGCTTCCATAGACAAATTTTGTTAGAATTATTTGCTTTGGACTCTAGTATCTTGGTTGCTTGACTAAGAGATAACAAAATTTTCAGAAATTATACGGAAGTCACTTTTTAAACTTAATTGTAGGATGTCACTAGGGCTTCAGATGATGCTGGATCATGACATTAGGACCATGTAGGATGCCCAATGAAAAAGTTTCTTTCATGGTTCTGTTTTTCCTTTTATTCCACTTGCAAAACCTAATCAATTCTATTTTCCCAAAGTTTTTTGCTGAAATTCACCTTGTTATAGAGGATTAATATCAATGGTGCACAGCTGGAGAGTGAGTTTGTAAGTGTACAAGAATGAGCAGACTTGTACCAGCAGGTCGCTACTGAAACCCACCCACAAGGGCTGGCAGCAGAGAATGCCTCCTAAGAAGTTTTATTCTTTTCCACTCAGTGAATATGGCACTAACTAATGGGAGAGAAATGTTGAGAATCATTTGTTTTTTGTTGAGATCTATGAGCCAAGTTAATTGTTTTGTTTGTCTGATTTATTATACTTGAATGGATAAAGTGCTATTAATATTGCACTTTGAGCAAGAAGTTAAGGCCAGAATAGTCAAAACGTTACTCATCTGGTTGGAGTACCTCAATTTTATATGAGGGAACAAAATTAGATATTCTTTTTAGAATGTGGATGTCTGTAACTCGCTTCAGTTCAAAGTGGAAGCATGTAACAGCAAACTTTATGCCCATATATTATCTGTTTCTACAATAGTCTTCCAAATAGCTGTTTCTGAAAAACAGAAGTCTTCTTTTTTTTAAACATTTTAACTATGCTGTCCAAGTCAAATATTGAAATGGAAATTAGTGACTATTACTTGGTTTCCAAAATAAAATATATTTGATATGATCAAGTGTTTAGGGCTTTCATAAATGTGTCATCAATATCTAAATATCAGTTACTTGACATAATGCCTAATATTTACTTAATTTTCTCCTTATGAGCAACTTGGGAATGAAAGTATTTTTTCATTGTTCCTTGCTTGTTTAGACAATAACACAGATCAAGTAGAAGTAATTCCAGAGACAGGGTTAGAACACCAGGCTACAGCTAATTCTGCAGCTGCTTCTCATAAGGGCTTGCACTCACCCCCTGGTATCTCATGTAGTTGTGGCCAATTGTGTTCCTGCATGTTGAAATCACAGAGCATGATACATTTTCACTACTCATCCTGCTCCTTGCACAGCAACCCAGCATCACTGCAGGATGCTGTTATGACTTGCTTGAATCTCTTTTTTTTTTCTCTGAAAGGTTGATATGTCTTCATATGTAAATATCAACCATCAAATCTCTTAGCATCTTTTTACTTTTTTTTTTCCTTTTCTTCCTTCTTTCTTTCTTCTTCATCAAATCCTAGATCAATACCAGAGATCAACACTAGAGAAAAGCAGAGTTGTTGGGGTAGGGAATTTTCTTTCCCAGAGATATTTTCAGAGACTGTTCTACCATAAGGTGGTAGAAACTTGTTCTGTAGTCTGAGTTCTGCAACATCTTTGTAGTCCTGATATCATAATGGTTTGTCAGCTGAAAGCAGTCCAATGTTACTACTGATCTGTGCATTAAGAGACTTATGGCTTAGAATTAAGAACAACAATTAGGTCCAGAAGCAAGTGTGTGTACATCAGAATGTGTACAGCCCTGCAGTAACGTGTTCCTAATACTCATATCAAACAAATTGTGATTTGTGTGGCTTTCCTTTTCTTCTTCAGTGAGAGTTAGAGACAGTGTAGAAATTACTGTAGGAAGCTCTTGGTCTGGGAGAAAAAGGTTGTCTTTGGAATAAATATCACAGTGAAAACTTTCCAGCCTAAGCCTTTCATTAATTTCTCTGTGTCATCTTAATATATTTAAACTCTGTAAGAAATTATGCTGCAAAAAGTTCTCCCCACATGTACTTTTTCCTCAATTGAAGTGCATACCTTTCAAATTATAAACTTCCTACTTGTCCTAGGAAAATTCTCACTGTATAAATAATTGAACTCATCTGCTGCGAACACAAGTATTCTTTCTCTAGCAGTCTAAAATATATGCCTAAATACACATTTTGTACTTAGTGCTTTAAATAGTAATTACTCCTGTGAAGTCACTGGAAGCCCTTAAAAGGATTTGACAGTTTCCCCACAATCTTTCAGTGAATGTAGTAGCTGGGCTGTGCAGTGCTACATCCACTGATAATTCAGCAGCTGAGGAACTCAGCAAAGCCTGCTCCAAACTTCTCAGCTGTTGACAGGCTTGACTTGCTGAGAACACTGGTTAAATATAGCACAAGCGAGCTGAGCTCAACGAAGTCATTGCTGTAACATTGTGTGAAGAGACCAGAAGAGGGGAAATACAATCTGAGAACTAAACTGCCAAAGCCTAACACCACCTAGCAACAGTTGAAAAAACTTTTAAACAAAAGTCTGGGTGAGACACAGACCGAGTACTCCTACTCCTCCTGCCTGGGATTTCTGAGAGAAGCAGCTCCGGTCTTCTTCTTTTCCACCTTCTTTTCTTCATTACTTCAGTGGCTGGTAGACCTAGGAACGTGGGAAAACTTTCTATCTTTGTGTTCTCCTGAGCTGGAGCAGTCTACTGCTGTGGTAGTGCTGTGGGACAAGCTACTGCAATCTCGCAGTGTTAAAGGACGTATTCCTGGGTTCGTGTTGCTGATAGGTAAGACTGAGCTCCAAAGCCTTTTTTTTTTTTTTTTTTACAAGAACTTTTGTTTTCCAGTGTCTTTTTTACAAGAATTTTCTTTTCTAATGTATGTTGTCTTTTTCCTTCTTTGAACAATCTTCTGAATGGTTTGAAAATATTGTCAGTAGATGAAAGCTGGGATAAAAGTTTTAGATTTTGGGGGTCTTTTTACACTTCCACCATAGAAAAGCATTGTTTAAATAACTTTTGCAGTTCTGAGAACAAGCACAATCAAGTAGCTAGTAGTAATATGAAAAAGTGTGCATAGATTTTGACATGTATCTTGCTTATATCTGCTTACATGCTGACAGAAGACAAACCAACATTTAATAATAGAATACGTATCATCCCTTACCAATGATAGGCTAGCAGCTATTAAAAACAGGGGCAGCCTGTGTGATAAATAAGAGGAAACAGCCATTCAGTAACAGAATTAACTTCGTGACCCAGCGCCTTTGTACTTTTTGTTTCCTTATTAACTCACACGGACACACCTGATGCCTTTCGTACTACCTTTGTGACAACAGCTCTTGGTTCTTTCTCTTGTACTTATTTACATATAATGAATATTAATCTCTGCTCATTTGATTAGCTGTATAATTCAAGTGTCAAAAAGATTGACCTTATGTTTATTGTACCTAAGTGTGCTTGAGCTGGGTCATTGCTGTTAAAGTGTATGTTTCTTCTGGCAAAATAAATGAGAAACCAGTTCTCAGATGTTTTACCCTGACAGTAGGATGGAAGCCTGATTGTCATTTGGAAATGCATGTCCTATGACCCCATAAGGGTCATGTAATTTAAGGGAGGAATTGCTTAATATGATTTACTTTGTCTAAACTGATAAAAGCTGTTTGATCAATTGAAGGATGAATTCCTCCCGCCCTCCCCACCACATATTTTAAAGCCGTTTTCTCCAAAGAAAGGAATTGAGTATGCATGAATCTTTAAAAGACATACTGATTATGAGTTCATATGCAATATGAATTCAGTTGTGAAAGCAAAGATTTAAGGAATGCACTTAACCCAGGCAAAACCACAGATTTGTATAGAATTGTCTCAGATGAAAAATATTTGTTCTAAAGAAGGAATGAACTAACTGAGTCTATGCTGACTGTCTGTGGTGTTTGACACTTAGTCTATGGACTCTGGGACTGCCTCAGGGAGATGAGAATGTCTTGCTTTCACTAAATAATTCTAGTTGCATCCCTGCATACTACATAAATGACATCAATACCACATCTTAGCAGTGGGTGGATTGGATGGAATTAAAATACTTTGAAGCAACTTTGACTTACTGACTGAGAATGTAACTGCCTGTGAAACAACAAAATAAATTAAGTATTAGGATGGAAGAAAATTCTTAAAAGCAAAAAGTAATAAGTTTACATTTTATTTCATAGCAAGGGGCACACTAAAGCACTAAACAGAAACACTTTTTGGTGGCCATGATTTAATGTGATAATCATTACTGTGGAATTACTAGAGCCCTATAGTATCCTAAATCTAAATCTCGAAAGGAAACTTTGGAATTACTTTTTAATAGGGACATATCCTGAGAAAGTTATTTTTTCACAAGAAGTCTATACAATGAGGATTAAAACCAAGACAATATGATTTGTATAGTTTTTGTCATCTTGACATTTAAGTGAAAATTACTGTTTCTTCTCTTTACTGAAACTTCTGGCAAATTAAACTGTGGAGAAATGACCTTCTGAATATATAGGGATGGCAAAATCTGGGAAAATGATATGCTGATATTGACTGCTTTTTCAGTTTAGTTGTTGCTCAGCATAATGTGTGGTTTTACAACTTTAGTTGTCTTGCACAATTTACTTTTAGCAAAGTTTTTAAAATCAAAAAGCATATTTATTAACCTGATAACTATCAAATGAAGTGACATTTGAACAGTCTAATAGCAATTTCCAACTCTAACACATTGTGATTTTACATACATCTGTCTTCCTTTCCACTTCAAAATGGAGGAGGAGGCTAAAATTACTTTTCTCAACAGGTGTCCACAAAGAGGCTCTGGGATTTTCCAATCAAATCTGTGGAATATGTAATGTGGCTATTCAACAGATGGCTTCATATTTGAAAAATAGCCAATTCTCCTACTGACTACAGTGAAAGCAAGGTCAATTTTAAATCAAAAAGTAGTTTATGTTTTGGTGATACACTCCATTGTAGAGATTTTTGTGGAAGACAAGTAGATGTAGCATATCCATTTATTTTCCCCATTTAACATTATTTTTATTTTGTTTATATTAGAATAACTGTGGAATGAATGATGCCTTTAATGGTGCTAAAGACTGTGTATTCCTCTCAATATGAATCCACTTTCCAGCCTCTCTGGCTTCTTCATTTACCTTCATTGAAGTGATATTATAATTTATTTTATGGTAACATTTGTTTATTATGAACTATTATTTAATTATTATATTTATTTTATTATAATTTTAACCAATCTAGCCACAGCTAATTCATCATCTTAACTGAGTGTTTTTTCATCACCTCAGTCTTTCAATCTCCTTATAGAATGTCTGCTTGTTTTTAACATCAAATTCAAAGACTTGAAATTCATCTTCAAGTCTGAGCACTGTTTGGTCCCTGCTTAGATATGCCTTGATTTTCCTGTACCTCTCCTTCTCATATCCAATAGACTATTAACCTTCAGCTCTGTTGTTAACTGGCCACTTTCTATGCTACTGCCTTTAGTAAGCTAGAAATTGTCATAAGAACACAGGAGTTTTTTATAGTGCCACTCACTGTAGCACCTGACACTCATATCATGAAAAGACTGAACTTTAATATTAACAGAGCTATGTTGACCAAGGTAGGATTCCTGAAGATACAGATGTGCTGCCTGGAAGCAACTCTGGAGTAAGCATTAGTAAATTAGGAAATCTCTATTTTGCTAGTATGCCCTGTTTTGCTCCTTTGGCTCACAATTTCACCACTGTAGCCATTTCCATACTAAAAGGTGTGTCAGTAAAACTCCTCCTGATACAGGATCTTTCTGCTGGTACAGATTCCACACATGCTTAATTTAAGGCTTTTGCTAATCTTATCTAATTCAGCTGATGTACCCTCAGGCAGAAATTAAGAATGTGTCTCAGAGCTGTGCCAGTCAGAGGTCAGTTTATGCCACTGAACTCAGAGTGAGATTTCCTTTGAATTTAATAAGATCAGGTTTTAGTGTTTAGATAAATTTCCCTCAAGAGCATTTAACAAAATGGATCATCTATATTCCTGTCCAAACATTTTTTTTCCTAAGAGACATTTTACTTTTCCTCCAATTTCTTGTTTCTTCCCTTCCTTTCTCAAGGTCTGTCATTGCAGGTTGCCATGCAATTTGAATATATAAACTGAATTTGGAGTGGGGATTTTGTCCTTATACATATCTAAAATGCTATTTGGAGAAATAGAGTGAATATTTGTGAAGAAGCCAGATGAAACAACAATATAAAGGAAAAGGAACTCAATCTATTCATACTTCCTATTTCACCAAAAGATTTAGTATATAAAACCTAGGATAAGAACTGAAAGCTGGGAACATAAAATAGTGTATGTGATAAAATAAAGATATTCTGTTCTATAGAATAGTTTCAGTATTTCTTTACAAGAAGCCCAAACACCTAAACTTTTCAGCTTCACCATCTTATTGTGGTTCTTTTAATTTCTAGCTTTTTCTCTTTTAATTTCTCTCAGTGTTTCCTACTGAAAGTTGTTTCCTAATAATACAGTATACTGGTAATTATTTGGGGAATACAGGCTTTTCTTGGCTTTGGAGGATATTGGATAACTGAGGAAGCAATTCATAAAATATTAAGATTTCTTAACCTCTCTTTTTCTATTTAGTAGCTAGTACTTGTACCACGTTAGTGCTAGTAGAACTTGTAACAGTCCTGTAGTTATGCTTTGAGGTTAGGTGTCCAAAGGACAGAAACAATCGTGCCTATGTCCTGATGAGAAGAAATAGTGGGAGTCTCTGATCATGTTGAAAATTGTGTGACAACTAATGTATTTCTGAAAAGCATGCCTTTCAGAGTACTTAATTAGATTTTTCCTTTTATTTTGGGTCTTTTCACCTACTCTTCCTGATTCTGCAGATAATCTGTACTTTCTATATTACTTTTTATTCTTAGCATCATAGTAAAATCTAAGTACTAATATCAGTGCAAACAGAAAGTCTGCCTGTGTTGGGACAGCTGTGCTTTTTTTAATTCGAAATGGCTTTGCCCTCTCATTCTCATTCTGCTTTGACTGGACTATATCTCTAAATCTAAATCCACAAGTAAAGCGTACAAATTGTAGCTCTGAAGATGATATATAAGATTACATAGATTGTGGCCTCCTCCACAATGTTTTACACACTCAGAAATACAGAGAAAGAGACAATTCCTATAATTAAAAGGCTTAATTAAAACTTAATGAGAAATGTATGTATGTGTGTGCATGTGTGTATGACTGCTGTAAGAAAGGAAATGTTTTTTGGCATTACAGAATGCATTGCTGAAGGAGTGGGACAAACACATCCGAAGTACAGGGAAATAGGCTGGAGCTTGTACTTTTTCCCTTAAATGGACAACCCGTCTGGTTGCTGTGTGCTGACAGAAGCAAAGGGGTGTGTGAATCTAACAGACTGCTGTACTTTGTCCAAGTGAGTCTCATTTCAAAGCTGATAAAATGACAATTAAAATCTTGATTGTCTAAGATGTGGCCAGAGTCATTCAGATTTAAACAGGTGGGGTTTCAGAACAAGAGCAAAGACCTCAATCAATTTGCAAAGAACTTTTCCAGTTTGATTTATACGCTTTTAGATCTCTTTAATACAATAAGGGCTGCTTTCATTGCTTTTCCTTTTTGGGGAAATGGTGTCAAAGAGTATAGTGTTTTGTGATTTGTGCTGTTCAAAAGTCTGTTCCAGTGCATATGTAAAAGTGATATTTTGGAAGCTAAATCCATTTTCTGAAGTC